TTATTCCTTGCCTGTGGCAAGGAACACTCGAGGCACAAAACCTTCCATAATGACCGACAGGGAATTCAGGCATGAGGATGGCCCTGGAATACCTAATGCTGGATGAGAGTAACCGAGGATAGAAAAGATGCTGCCGGCAATGGCTTAAATGCATTACAAAACATATCCCCTACATCACCATAATATATTTGAAGCAGAAGGGAATCTCTGCCCTGCAAGCCCCCAAGGACATCCAACCCCTCCTATCTGACCTGCTGCTCCTGACAGTGCCTACTGGGCTAACACCAAGCTCAGATGGCTATCACTGAGTAGCCATTAAGTCTGAAGCTGATAGCGCTTGCACACTGCAGGACCACTCATTCCTTAGCAGTCTTCTGGCATTTGATACAGTACACACATGGCCACTACTGCTCCCCCTACTCTCACCGGAGCTGTGGCACGCTACCTCCCCCAAACATGCGTTCTCTCATTGCTCTTGAACCACCAGTTCTTTCAACTATTTTAATTCCGACAGCTAGTAGACCCCATCACCTGGAAATTGCTTTCCTTAGAGCAATTACTAACTAAACTAATAACTAAATTTGATTTGCCATCTACAGCTCATTATGGTTGTTTCCAGATAAGACATTATGTTCTCTCCCATGACCCACACATTGCAGTCTTCCAAACCTTCACCCTTTGAAAGATAACTTGCTGAAGGACCCTCTCAGGCTTAATCTCAGATGCCTATAAGCTGTGAAATGCCTACCCCTTCCAGACACTAGGTAAACATGCCTTCATGCTGTGGGAAAATATCCTAGGGGACAAGATTATCTTAGAAACCTGGCAAATTATTTGGTCCCAAGCTACCAAAAGTTCTATATGTACACTCTACAAAGACAATTTTTATAAATGACTCTTTTTTGGTATCTCGCTCCAGAATTTCTGCATTCCATACATCCTACGGCCAGTGACTGTTGCTGACACTGCAATTGTGCTAAGAGCTCCTTTATTCACATTTACTGGAGTTCTCAGATTGTACCTTATTGGAGAGCAGCCTACCAAATGTTACGATTATTTGACTCCACTTTTCGCTTTGCCCCTAAATTGTTTTTGCTGGGTCTGAAAATTCTTTCAAACCATGCAAAAAGCTGCTGAGGCATATACTTACAGTGGCCCAATGTTTATTGGCGCTTAACTGGTAAAAAAAAAAAGTACATCTCCCTCTCAGGAGACGTTATATGAGAGAATTAGGGATCCTCATGGAAATGTTGACTGCTGGCCTTGGAGAACAATTTGGAGAGACATAATCAGGTTTGGGAGCTATGGTACTCGCAAGAAGTTCTACCATAGTGAACCCCTGGGTTTCTTTTTGCATATTTACTCTTCAAAAAGGCTCGTGGAGAGACACAGACCTACCTCTTATTTTCTCTTTCTCAACCTGCTTTCTCCTTTATTCCCTTTTTTCTTTCTTTTACTACATTTATGCTATTTGGGTTGGTAGCATTGCCAAAACACCAGTTGTTTGACCTTTTACTGCTAGATGGAAGTCTTAGGTCCCATTTAGCAGGTCCCAACTGCATGAAACTTCATCAGAGATAATTGCATCCTATTTTTCCACTGTTTTTCATATGCCAATTTCTGATACACTTCATCAGTGGTAGATGTGTGCCTGAATGGCAGCTTACAATATCTATATAACTTGTTTTGAATATTTTCTCTTTCAGAGTGAAACGACTTTCACTGAGTTGTCAACTGACTTCTCATAACTGCTTTTTCTATGTACTACTGTACTTTGTATTATTAATGAAAATGTCCAATAAAAGTTGTTACTTAGAAAAAGAAAGAAAGAGACTATGGTTTTGCTACCTAGGATAAGAGTGGACCAGGGTGATGCCTTTTGGTGATACTTGCTGGCTGTCCACTCAAAATTTGCAGGACACAACCGGCTTAAGCCAAGGGTTTGCAGACTTGAATGGGAACAGAGTGACAGACCATTCTGTTAACCATTCATATGTGCTTCCACCACCCCTCTTCCATCTCCCATAAGGGGAAAAAAACCCATAGGCTGCCCACAACAAAGCTGGAACATCATAGCCAAATAACGACAGTGCATACCTTACAAAAGTGGAGCTAATTAAACTGTCTTTTAGCATATAGAGACCCTGGTGCAGACAGATTTTGCAAAAGTGTTTTGCCTGTGTTCTAAAAGTGGAACAGTGTGCAATAAAATCAAGTACACGTTTTATGACAGGTACATGAATTTGGTGCATGCTGCACCACTTTTAGAACGCACTCAAGACTTTAACAAAACCTGTCTGCAACAGTCTATGTGAATTCCAGGATAGTCTTCAGCTCATAACAAATGTGCAAATAGTGCAAAAACAAAAAGCAAAGATTCCTTGTATACGTTTATAAGTAGTGAAAACTATATTGAAAGAAGTCCACTTCCATGTATTCCAAAAACCGCTATGTATAATGTAGCCAGTGACACACTCCTCCACTAGCAGAAATAATAGTTCTCTTAATTCTCAGAGAATGAGTCCCTTTAATGCACTTCCCCAGGCAATGGGTTAAAACAAACAGCAATAAGCCCCACCGGCACCCTCGTCTGCTCCACCAGTCGATTCCACAGCATCAGGTTATAACGTGACCATATTTGAGAGAAAATAAGTTTCATAGTGTGATGCCATCAAACCATCCGGATTTATAAAATAAAACACTGCCTTCAAGCAAGCGCGACATAATCCAAAGTCTAAATTCTGAAACACTGCTATATACCCTTTCAAGCCAACTTTCTAATAGGGATATTTGGTTCACACATATTGCAATACATGTTTAACCATTTGCCGCCCGCCCTATGGCTGAATGGCGGCCGGCAAATGTCATCAGCGTTCCGGGTGGACGCCATATGGCGTCCTCCCCGCACATACGCAGATTGCGCTCCTGCAGAGCCGTGCAGCGGCGCGATCTGTCACCAGCCGTGTACCTCGGACACGGCCGATGACGGATCCGAGTATCGGCCCCCATTGCCGGTACCATGTGACCTGCTGTGACCAATCACAGCAGGTCACATGACCGTTTTATACAATGGATGGCTTCATTCATGCCATCCATTGTATACTAGTGTCTAGCTGTGAATGGTCACAGCTAATCACATGCACATGTCATGTGATTAGCTGTGGCCAAATCACAGCTAAGCATAAAAAAAAAAAAAAACCCTTAATGAATCAATGTCATTCAGGTAAATGCTTGCTTATAGCAAAGTAATTCTTTGCTATAAGCAAATTGTGTAAAAAAAAAAAAAAAAAAATACTGATCACTTCCCCAAAGTAGTACAATGTTACTATGGTAACATTGTACTACTTTGGTCATAGTGAAATATGAAAAAAAAAATCTTGAAAAAAATTTAATAAAAAAAAAAAAATATATATATATATAATTTTTTTTTTTTTTTTTTCCATACTGTCACCAGTCAGTGTCCCTGATCACCGCCATGCCAGTTATATGATGATGCTGTACTGCACTTTTGACAATATGTAAAAAAAAAATAGTGAAACTAATTTTTTCAATTTTTTCATTTTCCGAAAAATTATGACAAAAAAATACAACTTCAAAAAACTCGCCATGCCTCTTATGAAGTACGTCGGACTGTCTAATTTGCAAAAAGGGGTCATTTGGGGATATCTGTACTGTTCTGACATTCTTGGACCTCAAGAAATTAGATTGGCCGTTAGTACTTCAGGATTGATCAATATTCAGATCTATACCATAGTTTGTGAACTCTATAACTTTCCTACAAACTAAATAATACATCCTAATTTGGGTTATTTTCACCAAAGATATGTAGCAGAATACATCTTGGCCTAAATTTATGAAGAACAATTATTTATTTGCAAACGTTTATAACAGAAACAAAGAAAAACGTGTGTTTTTTTTCAAAATTTTTGGTCTTTTTTTGTTAATTTAGCAAAAAATAAAAACCCCAGCGGTGATTAAATACCACCAAAAGAAAGCTCTAGTTGTGTGAAGAAAATGATAAAATTTTAGTTTGGGTACCATGTTGTATGACCGCGCAATTGTCATTCAAAGTGTGAGAGCGCTGAAAACTGGCCTGGGCAGGAAGGTGAAAAATTGCCCAGTATTGAATTGGTTAAGCTGGCCAACTGCGTCAAAGTCCAAAGTATCACACCGTGCTGTGGCTAATTGAACTAATGAAATGTCACTTGGTAACATTTCAGTACGTTTCTAAGCCAAAAAATAAAAAAGGTTAGTTTCAACTTCACACACCAACAACTGTGCAGTAGTGCATGCTGTTGGTGTGATACAAAACAAAAAAAAAAACAAAAAAAAAAACTTTCAGTTTTCTCTTAGCCACCTTGCATAATCCCACAAATAACAGTTGAGCCTGCCAGTGGAGTCCACCTAATGCAGCAATAGTGTTGTGCTGCGTCTACTTTAGAGTTGCAACAGCCATGTAGACTGTGCCATGGAAGAATGTTGCAGGGGACATGGCTATCAGCATTTTCTCTGCGTACCGTTATTCAGAAAACTGACATTTCTGCTGATTGAATTATTCATGGCCTTCTTATACAATTGGACTTTGATGGCAAGATCTTTGCCTCGATGTTCCCAACAATGTCCAGCAGCAGTGGGGTTTCTCTTCTTTTTATTTTACATTATGGAGAATATTTTGCTTCATGCAGAGCAGTGTCTGGGGAACTGAGGCATGGAGATCTCATAATCTATAGCTTTAGTGAAATATAAAAATACAGTGAGGGATCGTACCCAACAGTATCTTGGTTGCACTGTGGTAAAATGCCCAATGATACATCTCATCCACCTGTTAAATCACAGGTATAATTTTGCAAATTCTGTAGATGCCTCAAGAGTGCTGCAAGTCACCTTTATTACGTTAGCTAACAGCTTATTACCAGATGGTATTGTGTGCTGTTTGTTAAAAGCATATCCTTATGGAGCTTCTCTGGAGTGCATTAATGCTTGCTGTTTGTGTTTTCCAGATGCTATTAAACTGCAGCTTGTTGAAGGCGGCCTGGTAGAATGTTTACTTGATATTGTCCATGAAACTGTGAACAGCGAGAAGGATGAGGACATTGCAGAGCTGAAAACTGCATCAGATCTTATGGTACTGCTGCTTTTAGGAGGTAAATACTATATTTGTTTTTTTAGTTTTTAAAGGTTTAGTCTACCTTTTATTGACATTTTCCAAAAACATCCCTGTGCATTACAGTGTGGTTAGTACATTACTATGCTGTGCTCTGTTACATAAAGGAATGCTCACTTTTTAAGCTGCTTATTCCATTTCCCTCCCATCTCTGTCCTGCAGATGGCAGGACATGCCGAGCATTGGATGTGTGGCCTGGGAACTTCACAAATGAGCACTCAGCTTCATTCCCTGCCCACACATGCACAGTCCACTCTTTTTTTTTTTCTTCTCTTTCTCTTTTGCAGAATACCAAGTGCTAGGTAAGTAAGTACTGTCATGCAGGATGGAGAGAGGAAGACAATGGAATAAGCAGCTGAAAAATAAACCTCTCTAAACAGAGCACTGCATATTAATGTATGGAGAACTAACTCTTTGAAGTTTATCTAAACCAAAGAACAAATATTTTATGTTTTGCACCTAACTAGTACTTGGATATGGTGGCTGCATTAGTTTTCCCCGTTCAAGCTTAGTGGTTCTAAAGGCTGAAGGTTTTTTTTACCTTCATGTATTCTATGCACTCCGCCACTCCAAAAGCCTTCAGGGTGCAGCTCCCCACTCAGCTCCCCTAACACTTACCTAAGCCTCATCTCGATCCAGCATTGTGCAGGAGAGCATTGGCTTTCCTGGGCCTCTCTCACCTCATAGGCTCAGACACAGCAGTGAGAGCCATTGGCTCCTGCTACTGTCAATCACAGCCAGTGAGGAAAGAGAGTCCCGGGAAAGCCACTGCTGTCCTGCACAATGCTGGATCGAGATGGGGCTCAGGTAGGTATTAGGGGGGGCTGAGGGGGCAGCTGCACCCTGTAGATTTTTGGAGTGGGGGGCAGGATTGAGCCACGGTCTGTGTTTCCAATAGATACACAGAGGCTTCTCAGGAGTGAGCATGCACAAATGCCCCCAGAGCAAGCATCGAGGGGAAGGGGCCAGAAGCATCGGCAGGGGACCTAAGAAGAGAAGGAGCGGGGCTGCTTTGTGCAAAACCATTGTACAAAACAAGTAAAATATGATCTGTTTATTATTTTAAATAAAAAGCAAGGTTTTAGAACCAAGAAACAGAGGTATTACCGCTCAGGCAAACAATCCGAATCAAACCAAGGCAGGTGCAGGCTCGCCACCACACTTGATGCAATTGGAAGAAGGGTTAGCTGCACACCAGAGGATTGATGAATTATAGCAAATATCTATTGGTCCATAGGACACATAGAACACCGGGACATGTATACAGAACTTAACGAGTTTTACATGATCTCATGCTTAATCATGATTATAATTCCTCAATCCTCCGGTGTGCAGCTAACCTTTCTTCCTAAGACTTTAGAACCATTTTAAGAACATGTTATGTTAGTGCAGAACATATCTGTTGATCTTGCCAGAAATGCAGTGTCATCGTCACTGCCTGTGCACTGAACTGATGTCAAAGTTATCTGCATTCCTAGCTATCTTCTGTGCACTACAAATTCAAAACACCTCACCTCTGTAATGGAGATGGGGAGGAGGAATTGCTCTGTAGTTCTTAACACTTCTGTCCTAGAGTGACAATTCTGCTTTTCTATAGTTATAGTAACTGAGCATTGTTCCCTCCCCCCAGGGCAGGGCAGAGTCACCAGGTGAAAATAAAGGGGAAAAAAAACTGAAAAAGTAAGCTAATGCAGCCACCGGGTTTAGATACACTTTAAAGTCATGAAAGTAATATGTAATCTGCAATTGCTGACCTCTCCTTCTGAATTTGCTAGCTGCTTGGCTGTACTGTGGCATTCAGTCATTGCCCTGGAACAAACATGTCTAGAAGAATTTCTGGCTTGCTTTCCTCATCTACATACTGGATGATGGTCAGATAATCAGAAATATTGTAGTCGGAGGGTCAATATAACAGCCCAGACACTAGCAGTTTGAAGAGGAATTCCACAATGGCTTCTGCAGCATTTATTTAATGACTGACTGACTGGTTTACTTGAACAACATTCTGTACATGAACTCCCAGTATTCCCACCAATGTGGATATTACTAGAGAAGTTTATAATTGGGGCAGAGCGGCCAGCTGTCCCAGACTCGGGGGGGGGGGGGGGGGGGGGGATGCTAAAAGAAAAGTCCTGATATAGTCATTTCAGCTTTGCTGTTCTTAAGTTATTCCTTCAGAGGGTGATCAGCAATGGCAGCATTTGTGTTGTATTTCAATAAAGATTTCTTTTAAATCCCAGTTGTAGCCTAAGCTTTTACAGCCAAAGCCAGGGAGTGCAATTAGTTAACTCTTAGAGCTTAGTAGTATTCGTGCTCCTGCATTACCCTGAACTCCATTTTCCTGAAGCCCGCTGAAGATAAACATACTGCACTATGAAAGCAGAAGTCTATCCCTAGTGGTCCAACACACCCCCTACACAATCATAACTACTGTGCTCCATTCAGCAACATTTGTGCTGCCTGCCTTTTGGAGCTAAATGGTTGTGATTCATAGATGGTGTGTCCAACTGTTGGGGGTAGACCGCTGCGCTCACACAGACCACAGCATGTCCATTTTAGCCAGCAGTGCTAGAGAGATCCAGTCATTAGAGGACATGTAAAAGCTTGGGCTAAATTTGGACTTAAGGATGATCTGAAAATCATACACAATATGTATGCACATTTGCCTGTACTGGAAGCATTTTTTTCTGTGTTATCTGCCACCATCATATGAGTAATTTGTTAAGAGTTATCACTGCATATGAATCAAGTTAAACTTCAAACACTGCTTAAAGAAATGTTTCACAAACCCATATAAAAGCAATAAAATAATGCATGTGAAGTGACTGTTAGTATAAAGATACAGTGGAGTATTTTCATAATGTTTGGGTGGCATGGATGGAGTACAAGGATTCCTCCAAATTTCAAGTCCACTTCCTTAATTAACTGTTTTTATCAGATATTTAATTACAGTTCCAAGCCCTTCCTCTTTCTACTCTAAATCCAGCCATAGATGGATTGATTCTCAGCCAGTTCAGCAGGGAATGGCCTGAGATTCGATCCATCAATGGGCAGGCTGATTGTGTCCAAGTCAATCCATTGATAGACTTGGTTAAAACCACCATGTTGGATTTTTAGCATGCATTTATTGCCAACAGCTATAGCTGCTAGCAATAATCATTGTGTTCTCCCGGCATGCACAGCTCCCTGCACCCTCTTGCCAGGAGAACACTATAGCTCTGCAGGAGGGATTCCCCTATCAACACTGACTGGTTGCAGGAAAGAAAATCACATCTATCTCTATGCCTGCCTTACTTATGTTACTCCTCTCCCTTCAATCTCCTACCATTCTGCTTGTATCTGCTCTTTATCTTGCTATAGCTCTTATATTCTTATGTTGCCCCTTTTACTCCTATTTCCCCCTACCCCATCTCCTCGTCCATAATTTCTTTCATATTCTCTCTTTACTTAATCTTTCCCTTCCTCTTTGTCTGCTTTCCCCTCTTTACATTCAATTCTACATGTTTGTGTTTCTGTTGATTTCTTAATTTTAAATATTCTGTCAATATTTCCCCCATCACTAAATAAGTTTGATATCTGCTTGCCTTTTTGGATTGGGTAGCCAATACTATGTATGTGGACTGGAGCCTCATATCTTATACATACAGGCACATATTGTTTCACAATCTACTTTTTCAATAAAACGTGTTTTGACTAAAAGCAAATCACAGTTTGTGTAATTATGCATGGTCCAGGTATATTGGCGCCATTTAATGAAAACAGTCCAGGGCCCATGTTAATTAACCAGTGTTGGTTGTTGCTTTTAGCAACAAGAACTGTCTTGTTTTGGTTTGACTTCTTTTTCTGTGCAATAGGTTGTGGTAGCACAGATTTCATTTCCAATGTGTCTGTCTTCACAGATGAGTCTATGCAGAAGTTGTTTGAGGGGGGTAAAGGAAGCGTCTTTCAGAGGGTGCTGTCTTGGCTTCCATCTCACAATCACCAGTTACAACTAGCTGGTGCCTTGGCTATTGCCAACTTTGCCAGAAACGGTAATACCAATCAATTATGTGAATCAAAAATTGTAATTCTGCTACATAGTATAGATATAATGTTAATTATCTGCTGTTTCCTGTGGTGTTAGATTTATACTGGAAAGAGAAATTAATTTTGTATAGATTGGCGTAGGGCTGCTTGCTTACTAGGGGAGCTTACAGTATCAATTCCTGGAGTGAATTCTGCTAGGAGATATGCTACATCACTTCCCCTCTGCTGAACTCTCCTTCAGATTGTTATAATACCAACAGTGAGAGCTGTTACAGCCTAGACAGGTGTGGCTTGAGATTTCCCTGCCAAGATACTAAAGCTGGCCATAGATGGATCAATATTTGGGCAGTTCAGCAGGGACCGACCATATTTCGTCTATCTATGGTCTTTCCCATTTGTGTAAAGTCAATATGATGATCAACTTTTCACGAGCAGGCTTGTTAACCGCTTGCCGACTTCCCTATAGCAGAAATACTGCTACAGGGCAGGACAGGTGCTCAAAATCACGTATAGATACCCGATTTTGCAGATCCAGGTAGGGGGCGCATGCGCCCTACCCGCGCCGCCATTCGTGGCCACGGCTTTTATTCACCAGGTCGCAACCGGTGATTAATTGCCGGCACCGAGTGATTTCCAAGGATCTCCGAAGGAGAGGACGTAAATTCCAAAACTGCCGCCCTTGATGTAGTGTTATCGATGTAGAGTTAATGTGTTAGGTGTAGAAAATCAAATGACAGCACAACCTGCTCTGACAGCTACTCTGCTGCTGCATTTGACCCACCCAGACTCTGTTTGTCAAGAGTAACCCTTTGGACTGGCATTTTAATTCAAGAAAGCCATCAGAAGATTTTTAATTTCAATTATAAAACAATTTTGTACTGTTTTGGCTAAGGCACATTATCTATCCAATTTTAAAAAAAATTCTAAATGATGTGCCCATTGACAAATCAAATATGCAGTTGTGCTAAAAAAACTTGCACACCCTTGCAGAAATCATGAAATTTTGGCATGAATATTGAAAATTTGACTGATTATGCCAAAAACCTATCTTTAAGGATAATGATCATATGAAATAATTTATTATCACAGTTTGTTTGGCTCCTCTTTAAATTCTAATGATAACAGAAATCACCCATATGGCTCTGATTAAAAGTTCACATATCCTGGAATGTTTGGCCTTGGTACAGACACACAAGATGATGTGCACAGGTTAAAATGGCAAATAAAGGTTAATTTCCCCTATCTGTGCCTTTTAAAATTATTAGTGTCTGTGTCTATAAAGTCAATGAGTTTGTTAGTTCTCACGTGCATGCACTGAAAAGACTAGATACTGAGACATGGGGAGCAGCAAAAAAGAACTGTCAAAAGACCTTTGTAACAAGGTAATTGAACTTTAAAAAAGCTTTAATAAGATATTCAAAGCCTTGAATATGCCAGTTAGTACTGTTCAATAATTTATTAAGAAGTGGAAAGTTCTGGGATCTCTTGATAGCAAGTCAAGGTCAGGTAGACCAAGAAAGATTGCAGCCATGACTGACCGAAGACTTGTTCGGGAATACAAAGAAAAACCCACAGGTAATTTTAGGGAAAATACAGGCTGTTCTGGAACAAGATGGTGTGGCTGTTTCAAGGAACATAATATGATGCCACTTGAAACAAAAGTGAGCTGCATGGTCGAGTCGCCAGAAAGAAGCCAATGCCACAATAAAGCTCAGTTACAATATGCTAGACACCACCTTGACATGCCTCGCAGCTTCTGGTACAATGTAATCTGAAGTGACAAGACCAAAATAGATCTTTATGGTCACAACCTATATTTCAAGAGTGGTCAACAGCAACGAGAGAACCATCCCCACTGTGAAGCATGGTGGTGGCTCACTGATGTTTTGGGGGGTATGTGAGGTCTAAAGGCATGGGAAATCTTGTGAAAATTGGTAACAAGATGAATGCAGCATGTTATCTGAAAATACTGGCAGACAATTTGTATTCTTCTGCATGAAAGCTGTGCATGGGGTGCTCTTGGACTTTCCAGCACGACAATAACCCTAAACACAAGGTAAAGTTGACCCTCCAGTGGATTCTGCAGAAAAAGGTGAAGGTTCTGGAGTAGCCATCTCCTGACCTAAATATCAAGCCACTCTAGGGAGATCTCAAATGTGTGCAGTTCATGTAAGAGGACGAAAGACTTTGCATTATTTGGAGGCATTTTTCCAAGACAAATGGGCAGCTATACCACCTGCAAGAAATCGGGGCCTCATAGACAACTATTACAAAAGACTGCATGCTGTCATTGATGTTAAAGGGGCAATGAACAGTATTAAGAACTACAGGTATGCAGACTTTTGAACAGGGATCATTTCATTTGTTATTCTACAGGATTTATATAGTGCCAGTTTGCACAGCACTTTACAAAATGAAGGTAGATATTACAGTTACAATACAATTTGGTACAAGAGGAAACAGAGATCCCTGCTTGTTAGAACGCACAAAGAGATGACCTACAATTGAATGTACATCCCATAAGAAATAAAAGAATTGTGTTTTGGCAACTCATGTTTTCTTTATAAATGGTACTGTGTGTTTCCAATTCTCTAAAGTTATGCAAACGTTTGAGCACAACTGTATGTTAACATTGTAACCTGCAGTAAAGAACTTCCATATGATATGAATGAACATTCAAATTGCATGAACCACATACTGATCTTTACTACATATTAATCCTGTCTTTGTGTGTGTTGCCTACCAGGGTTGACAGTAATGTGTTTACTTTAGATGGGAACTGCATCCATATGGTGGACAATGGCATTGTGCAGAAACTCATAGATCTTCTAGATAGGCATGTGGAAGATGGCAATGTAACAGTACAGCATGCAGCACTAAGCGCCCTAAGGAACTTGGCCATTCCAGGTAAGTTTACAATATTCCATTTAAAAGTGAGCATTAGAGGGCAATGCCATACTTAAAATGGCACTTGAGTCAGAAATTAAGTCCTCATAGATCCCATGACGTTGGCCCCTTTTGCAGGTATAGCCATGTAAAGGCTTAAAAATAAGTTCCTATACTGTATAAAATCCAGTTAAACACTCTCACACCCTGCTCTGCACATGCTCAGTTGCGGTCTATTTTTTGGCACTATGTCAAACTTGTAGTGGCCAATCTGCTGACCCACGTAAAGATTTAATGCTGTTCATGGACTCATGGGATTCAGCAAAATGGCAACCTCCAAGAAGAAACGGGAACAATGCTGAAGGCAATTTGCATCACACACTAATTTGGGTAGCGTAATTATTAATGTGGAATGTATGTTCTTTGTTAAAGAACATTGATTTTTTTTTTTCTCAAGTCATTATGGGTAAAGTGCCGCTTTTAGAAAACTAGTGGGGCAACAAGACATTGTTTTAGTCATGGACTTAATCATCCAGTGCTTATCTGTTCCTGTCCAAAATTTATGATGCTGGCCAGCTTGTGGAATGTGCGCACATAAAGAAACTCACACTGACACCTTTGGTCTGTGAAAACTTCTCTCTAATTTATTGAAATGAAACCGTGAGCTTATATATGAAAAATGATGGGAACATCACGTGATAACAGCATAAGCATTATATTAGTCTTTGATTGGTCACTTTACACGAAAACAATCTCCGTCATGGTATAGGTGTGATCTTCTTCAGTCTTATCTTAAAAAGAGAAAAACATTCTTTTGTCTTCCAAATCACACGATGGGAGGGGGTCTGTTCCTGTGAGCAAATATTTCTTAAGCAAGGATTTCTTAAAGTACCACAAAGCCCAGCAGGCAGAAAATATTCACACAACATATGTATTAAAGTATAAAAGTAAATATTTATAAAACGTATAGAAATAGCGTATATATATATATTCAATAGGAAACGAAATAGGCATTTTACCAAAAATCCATCACCGTCCCCCTTAAAATGACTATTTTCCTCTGTCCCTATAAAACCTAGCTCATCTGTCCTTATGTACCTTGGAACTCTTTTGTGCTGTACGTTAGACAAGTGATGACTATTTCATCACCTCCCTTGCCACAGACTTTGTACATAAGGAAGTCAGATGCTATCCCTACAAAATTGTGAGATTACTATTGGCGGGGAGGGACCGTAATGGGGTGTAAGGTTTTTCTTCATCCATCATATGGGGATCCTCTTGGTCCTGGTTCAGGAAGGTAGGTGTTCTGTTGTCTACAGCTTTGCTTATTAACTTCTTTACAAATGATAGAATACAACATACAATCAGAGCTAAAAGAACTAGAATTATTAGTACAGTTACCCCTATTTGGGCGAGCACTTTTTTCCACCCACTCATCCAGCTAAAATATTGATCCCACGGGTCTGAGATACCTCAGTTCTTCTTCAGCTCCACTGACAGATCTTCCAATTTATTTATACCCAGAGTAACCTTACCATTCGGGCCAGTATTGTCAGGAATATATGTACAACATGTTCCGGTTCCTTCTATCATTTTACAGACACCTCCTTTTTCTGCTAAAATCATGTCCAGAGCCATTCTATTCTGTAATGTCATGTAGGATGTAGGGTAACTGGTCAACGATTCCTTGAAGGGCATCCCTGGTGTAATTCAAAACCTCTGTTGGTTGTAGTATATGTAATTTATCTAATCTACATTTTTTATTAACAGCTATCATGGGAATCAGGGATTCAAAACCTGCTTTACTTGGTCTCTGGCTTTAAATTTATTAGACACCCCCCTTGGGACTCCAATGGCATCTATATACACATGTGGGTCAAAACTACCAGAAGGAGCTTTTCGTTTCCTCCTACGGCCAGGCGTTGGGTCAGGGTATTCTCTGCTAGGATGTGGAGAGGCATAATGGCCTTTGCAAGGGCATACTCACCAGTCCAAATCCCTTCCAATCTTATTCTAATCTTTTGGTCCCCAGTAATCATCCATGACACATATCTATACCTGGTCACTACTATCGGAAACATGCTCGTTGTATTAAGATCATATAAATTATGGTCATAGCACCACATGGGATCTATACTACAGAAATCAAAGGTAAAAATAACTACATGAGTGTTGGATGAGTTGTACCAAAATATAGTGGTGTCACCTATTTCGGTGATATCCACCTGTTGAGCCTCTGTCAGACTTATAAGAAAAAGGATATACAACATAGTTGTCATGGTGTAGATGACGCCTTTCCCTCAGGGTTCGGGACTTTCTTGGTTTGGGAGGCGTGTATCCAAGTGTTCTTCCTGGCCACCTTGTCAGAAGGGGCTGTGGTCAGCAGAACTTGGAATGGACCATCATATCTTGGCTCAAGGGAATGTTTCCTCATAAATGTCTTTACTAATACCCAATCTCCGGGTAATAGGCTGTGAGTTCCTGTATCTGACTCAGAATCTGGAATGGAGAAAACACTTGGACATGGATACGGGTTAATTCACGTGATAATACAGTCACATAATCAGTTAACACATCAAATTGTAATTGCAACTGTTGTGGAAAATAACAACCAAATCTGGGGGCTGAGCTAAACAAAATCTCATAAGGGGATAGAGAGTGTTCTCTCTTGGTGTGTATCTGACACTAAATAGGGCAATAAGCAGACTGTCTGGCCAACTCATGCAGTCTCTTGGGCTACTTTTAGCATTCTTTCTCTTTTTCCCACTACTTTGGGGGTGATAGGGGGTTTGGAACGCCAGAGTGACTCCTAATGCCGCCATATTTCTTTGGTTACTGAAGCTGTGAAAGCGGGGCCCTGGTCACTCTCTATCACCTCTGGAAGCCCATATCTGCATACAACCTCAGTGAGGAGTTTCTTCACAGTTGTTTTAGCAGTCCTGTTAGTTACAGCAAAGGCCTCTGGCCAACTGGAAAACATGTCCAACACCACTAGGGTGTACTCAACCGCCTACTCTTTGGCATCTGGATATGATCAATTTGTATCCTTTGAAAAGGGTATAGGGGTTTGGCCAAGTGTTTCTGTGGTGTCTTCTCTGTGCGTCCCGGATTGCACTTTGCACAGATGGCACATGTTCTGCAAAAAATTGTTCGTCAATGTGGTGATTCCAGGCGCTATATAGTACTTGTTGATGAGAGAGTTCATGAGGCTCTTTGACAGATGGGCTGCTCCGTGTGCCCACTGGACTACAGCTGGAAACATATTCTTGGGTAAACAAAGCCTCTTGTTGCACTCAAACAGACCGTCTTTGAGAATAGCTCCTCTCCGTCTCCAGCTCTCTTTTTCTTCTGGACTTGCTGCTTCTTGGAGTTCCTTGAGGTAGCTTCTGTCCACAGGTAAGGTCTGTAAGGTGAACATTGGTTCCCACTCTCCGGTCACCTCACCTTCCATTTCTGGTGGTCCCATGGCCGCTCGTTTTGTCGCCAAATCTGCCAGATTATTGCCTTTGGCTTCTGAAGAGTTTAATTTCCCATGAACTTTACCTTCAGAATAGCCACTTGAATGGGTAGAAGGAGTGCTTCCAGCAGTCGTCCAATGGCTGCTCCATGTCTTATGGATGTACCTGCCGCAGTCATAAATCCTCTTGCCTTCCATATGGGTCCAAAGTCATGGGCCATCCCAAAGGCATATCTGGAGTCTGTGTAGATATTGGCCCTTTTTCCTTAATTCATCTGGCATGCTGTTGCGAGTGCTTGAAGTTCAGCTCCCTGTGCAGATATTGCTGGCGATAGGGCTCTTGCCTGTAGGACTGTGTCTGCAGTAGTGACCGCAAATCCTTTGTAATATATGCCTCCTTCATCTGCATATCTGGAACCATCAACAAAGAAAGTGAAGTCTGGATCCTGCAGAGGTGTTTCACTCACTGTGGGGAGATGGAAGATTTCCATTTTCATCACTTCAAGACAATTATGAGGCTCAGTGGCTCCATTATCCTCTCCACTTTCTTCATTACCTTCATTACCCCCCTCAGCAATTGGGAGGAGAGTGGCCGGATTCAGGGTCTGGCAACGTAGGAGAGTGACGTTATCAGGAAGGTGGAGGGGAACACTGTAGTCTAAGATGCCTCGCTGTGGACAAATGTTTAGGTTGGACTTGGTTTAAAATGGCAGCACTGGCATACGGTGCCAGAAGAACAAGTTCATGTCCCAGTACGATATCAGAGGTCTTATCCAGCAGAGCTTGAGCAGCGAAAACTGCACGCAGACACGACGGTGCTCCTCTAGCCACTGGGTCCAAACGGCATGAGTAGTAGCCTACGGATCGTAGGCAGTCTCCGTGGGACTGGGCCAATACTCCTGTGCCATGGCCTTGGCGTTCAGACATGAACAGTTTGAAAGGTTTCTCGTAGTCTGGTAGACCTAGGGCTGGGGCTGAAGAAAATAAGCATTTTAGAGCCAAAAAATTGGAGTCGGCCTCTTCGGACAGATGGAAGGGCTCAGACTTGAGAGCATCGTAGAGTGGTTGCATAAACCAAGAAGCATCAGGAATCCATGACCTACAGTAGGATATGAGGCCAAGAAAGGCATGGAGTGGCTTCTGGCCTATAAGGGAGTGGCAAGTTCTGGATGGCCTTAACTCTTTCCTCCGTAAGATGCCTTGTTCCATGTGAGAGACAGTGGCCCAAGAATACGAGACTGTTGTAGAGCACCATTGCAACTTCGGTTTAGAGGCCTTACAGCCTTGGTGTGCCAAGTAACATAGTAAACTCTCTGAGGCTTCTTCAGCCGTGGGCAGGTCATCAGCACAGAGGAAAAGTCATCCACATATTAAAGAAGGACCACTGCCAAATGTTCCTTTTGCCACGTGTCCAGTATGGTGGTCATGGCTTTGGCAAACTGGCTCAGGAATTTTTCACCCCCCTTGTGGCATAACTGCCCAGGTGTATTGCTGCCCCTTATGGATAAAAAATGAAGAAGTATCTGCAGGGAGGATACGAGGGAACGCTGGAGAATACATTTGCCAGGTCCATCACGGTGAAATACTTTGCTGTTGGAAATACCCCCCTGTGAGTAAAGTGTGGGGATTTGGAACGATAGGTGTCTCTAAGACAGTGGCTTCATTTCACTGCTCGAGAGTCCTGTATCATCCTGTTCTTCTTGGTTCTCCTTTGGGTGTCTTCTTTTCTTATCGGGAACAAAAGCGTATTACATGGAGAGGTACAAGGTATGAGTGCAACCATTTGCCACAAGGGACTTGACCTGCTTCGAGATGGCCTTGGATTGCGCTGGTTTCAGTGGGTACTGTGGTTTCCTGGGTAGGGGAGCTCCAGGACTTCAGTTCCACCATAATTGGGGGTACCTTTTTAAACGTCCAATATCTTCGGGTCCTGTGGACCATAGACAACTTGGGATTCTGCTCAGCACATCCGGTGCCACGTAGAATGTACCATTGACTTGTAAGACCGGACACACTGGGTAGAGGCGGCTCACTCAAGGCATTGGCCTTCCATTTGTCTAATTTTGGTGTACCCAATATGGCCGCCTCCAGGAAGTGTACTGGGCTGGGCAGGAAGGGACAAAAACAGGAGCAGCAAGATGGCTGCCATCAGGAAGTGTACTGGGCAGGGCTAGGGCTGGGGTGGTGGGCATAAAGTAGGCGTTAGATGAAGGGCAGTGCTGTCCCTCCCCTCCTCCACCCCACATTCCAACATAGGGCGGTGGTTTTAGCACACACTTCCATTTACAATTTTGTGATACAAATACATTATACAATTGCCATTTTCTTGAATTTCTTCCAACTATCCTTCTTTATACAACACTTTTCCAGTTCTGTACAAAACTTCTGTCACGTTCAGCAAACCTTTATCACATAACATTCCTCTCTGTTCCTACAATGATTTATGCCAGTCCTGACCTTCAGCTTACAAAACTTTCGCTACTTACTATAACTTTAACTGCTTCACTTCCTTCACAATATGACATGCCAGTAATCCTTTTCAATATTTTAACACATTAATAGTACACATAAACAGTTTATTTTTTTATTTTTTTTTTTCCCTGTAGCAATACCTGTTCTGTCCACTACTCTTTGTGGATAACTTCGGCTACATTATACCAAACTTCTTGCTGTCCTCAAGCACATGTTTGTCAACTAAGACATCTTTCTTCTCTTTTTTTTTTTTTTTTCGCCATACCTCATCTTTAATTCCACATACTTTTCCTTTTCTCTCTCTGCAACCAGGTCACATGCTAACATTCCTTTCTAGGGGTCTTATCAGCGTCTGACCCATCTCCTCCCCCATCTCTGTCCTTCCTAACAGGAATCTAAGACACTTCATAGGCTGCTGTCCAGACTTTCCTTAACCCTTAACAAACCCCAACCTTCTGTTATGAATGGCAAACAGTAGCTTACAGACACACATTTAGGACATAACATAGCAGTCTATCTTGGTGGGCTCTGAGTACAGACCACTGAGTAACCCATCGTAACCCACACAAACAGTTACGGCACCCGCTGTCACATTACCGTGACGCATATCCGACACCTCCTCTGTTGTGGTCAACACACAAGGTTACCACACACCCAGAGAAATTATGTGTCAAAACCCTCAGTAGGTCCACTCCTCTTCCACCTCAAGACTGATACATAAAAACACACAACAGAGACCCAGGTAAAAGATAAGCACATGCAGGTATATTTAAATAAACTCCGGGCATACAAGGTTTACCTGCCTTTGACCTTTAGCAGCCGTACTAGGCACAGGTATGAAATCAACAACAAAGACAGGATAAGCAATGGTAAGATAGCAAAATATATCTTACCATGCTCCGAGAGGTGATCAAGCTCTCCGGCCTGTCCAGTTTGACTGACACCGAACGCCTTTTCATGGCGGCTGGCTGCAGGTTCATTATTCAGTTCCCCGGGTTTCTTGGCACCAAATTGTTTTAGTCATGGACTTAATCATCCAGTGCTTATCTGTTCCTGTCCAAAATTTATGACGCTGGCCAGCTTGTGGAATGTGCGCACATAAAGAAACTCACACTGACACCTTTGGTCTGTGAAAACTTCTCTCTAATTTATTGAAATGAAACCGTGAGCTTATATATGTGAAAAATGATGGGAACATCACGTGATAACAGCATAAGCATTATATTAGTCTTTGATTGGTCACTTTACACGAAAACAATCTCCGTCATGGTATAGTGTGATCTTCTTCAGTCTTATCTTAAAAAGAGAAAAACATTCTTTTGTCTTCCAAATCACACGATGGGAGGGGGTCTGTTCCTGTGAGCAAATATTTCTTAAGCAAGGATTTCTTAAAGTACCACAAAGCCCAGCAGGCAGAAAATAGTCACACAACATATGTATTAAAGTATAAAGTAAATATTTATAAAACTTATAGAAATAGCGTATATATATATATATATATATATATATTCAATAGGAAACGAAATAGGCATTTTACCAAATCCATCACAAACATGAGCATTACTGTTTGAGGGCTGTGAAGAGACCAGTAATTCACATTTCTAAGTTTGCATACGTTTTTATGACTTAATAATCCAATGCAATAGGAGTCTATCACCACACATTCCTCATTAGTCAGCAGAGCTAGATTTCATCATGGGTGGGAAGTGAAATGTCCCATCACTTATCCTTCTCAGGAAGGGATTGTTTGTGGCTACCTTAAAGTCCTTCTTTAGCTAAATGTTTAGATGCATTTGGTGTAATTTTTCTTTTTTCTCTTTTTTTTTTTTTTTACATTTGGTGTCATTTTTCTTTTCTTTTTTTTTTTCTTCTGAACTGCTTCTGGGATTGAAGAATACATGTTGGCCCCTGCAACATCAAATTTTTCAGTGTCTGACCAATGCGAAGCTCATCAGAGGCTTCTTCTGGCAAGGTGTCCTAGGAGAAAGATGCAGTTCTCATGGGTTCCTGCTGACCAATGAGTCTTTCCCTTTGTAAACATTTTGATGCATACTCATTCCGGGGCTGTGTATTGCAATGTAGGGACCAGCAACACAATGGCTGCTATTTGTAGGAGGGCTTTCCAAGATATTAGGCGTTCACCATTTCACTTCCGTTAAATGATGAACTTACCCTTTAAAGTTTTATTAACTCACAACAGTATAATCAGTCTGTATATGCAGTGAAGCATGATTGTTATACTCACTGTGGAACCTAAGGGGTTAATCCTCCATATTATGTAAAAAGGCTGTTAAAGGCTGTTTGATGCTGTCTTCTCTGATCCTCCCCTTCTTCTACTGTCCCAAGTCCATTTGCTGATAATACAGGGCCCTATGAGACACACTGTGCACATGCTCACTTTGGTGTATATAGCCAGAGAGTTTTTTTTCTTTTTCTTTGGGAGGGTGCATGTGATGAGCACAGGGCCAATCAGCATTTACTAAAATAATTGCATTTCCATGTTCTGTGCACTGTGGGAGAGCAGATATAGTGAATGCAGGGTCATTGGTTTAGTAACACTTTAACCCCTTCACACCGACGTAACACATATGCGGCCTCACAGAACTGGGCTTTTTTTTCCATGGTGTCGCATATTTGCGTACCTGTCTTTTGTGCTGGGAGCCCGCCGCACAGTACGCTCCCAGCGCAAAGACCGGGGTGTCACTGAGAGCCCTGGGTCCCATTCTATCGATCGGGACCCAGGACTCCCGATTCCAGGTCACATGATCCCTGTGATAGCTTCTGATTGGCTATCACAGTGATCAGTCACTGTGAAGCTCACCCCCCTTGTTTTATTTCTCTATGAACGGAGGAGAGAGATACATTTCTCTCCCTCCCTCTCCCTCCCCCCCCCCCTCTGGCATAAAAGGAGCCCATAAGGATAGAAAATGGTCAGTTCAGCTGGTGTGGCTGTTCCAACTTTGTATTTGGTGGTGTGTCGCTTAACACCAACATTCTGCTTTCACTATCTTTTGTGTTTATCCATTAAGTGGTGGCAGTGTGGAGGGGAGAGTAAGCGAGATTTTCCATCCTTTTCAATCACTATTTTCACCAATAGCTGAAGGAAGCCTGTGTTAGTCCTTACTTAATCTTGCATTTAACAAATATCATCTAATATCTAGGAGCATCTCAAGCGGCCCTCTGCTGAAAAGTAAAATGTGTCCTGATAAAGTACAGAGTCCTAATGTTTTCCTGTCACTGTGACCTTAGAAAAGTACTTTGTGACCAGGGAAGGGAAAATGAAATCATAGCATTATGTAGGCAGTAGTAGCTTTGCTCTGCACACCCAAGTATCTGAGCACTTTGTGTGTAAGCATTGTACTATAAAACTTGGTGGGAGGTGGGACACGTAAAGAAGAAAATTGGTTCTGATACTAAATGTAAATTAGCCTGGTATTGTGATTCATAATTGCAACAGTTCTTTCTCTTAAAGGAACTAACTAGCTCTGATTCAGTCACATTTTTTTTTTTTTACCCGCATGTAGACCGACACATTCACAAAAGGCTTTCTTTTATGTGGGTTTTTTTTTTCCTTCACAGTTGTCAATAAAGCAAAAATGCTGTCAGCTGGAGTAGCAGAGGAAGTGCTGAAGTTTCTGAAGTCTGAAATGCCTCCAGTCCAGTTTAAACTATTGGGAACACTGCGGATGTTAATAGACGCTCAAGGTAAAAGGATGTTGTGCAAGAAGGAAAAAACTTTTTAGATTCCTTCTCAGCTGTCGAGGTATTGAAGACTTTCAAAAATGTTAGATGTTATGCCTGTTTTTTTTTTTTTTGTTTCAAAGTTTGCTTAAAATGCATCTGGCAGTTTTACGAAGATCTTGGTGTCAATATGAATAGAGTTCTGAGACTTTGAGGTATCATCCTAATCATATATTTTCTGAAAAGTTCAGAAAGAGCCCAAGGTACTGAAGATGTTGTCCTATGGTAATTCCAACATGCTGGCATGCCTCACCTCCTATGGATTTCTAATGGCCAGTGAGTCTGCCCCTCTCTGTGATGGGCCATGGAGGAAGTCATTAGGACTAAGTGTAGAGAAGAGAAAATGAACTTTGACTTGACTAGGACATGTTAGAATCAACATACTAAACTCTACATGGGGACAGGTACATCTTCTCATTGTGAATACATGATATGTGTCCTTTCCTGCTTATCAACTCTATACTCTTTAGTTGGCTTGTCCTGTAATTTAGAATTTAATCAGTCAGGTAGGTGAAAATATAGTCTAACACACTTCCCCAGAGAGAAAAATCTTCAAATATATATTGTAAATATAGTCATGGAAAATATAACACAGTAGAGATGCAAAAATAATTGTAATATTGCATAAGGTTTCCTTGTGGAACCCACATTATAATCTGCACAAAAAGAGCAACTGGGTACATAAGTTGTACAAGAAGATCAACTGGGTGCATAAGTTGTATGGGTGTATAAAATGTTAATTTGTGTATCTCCCTGCAGCTGAGGCCGCTGAACAGTTGGGGAAGAATGTTGAACTAGTTGAGCGCCTCGTAGAATGGTGTGAAGCCAAAGACCATGCTGGAGTTATGGGCGAATCAAACAGGTTGCTTTCAGCTCTTATACGACACAGCAAATCAAAGGTCTGTTAACTATCATATTATATATAGCTAGGTTGGCAATCTTGCCCTCTTTGTTTTCTGCAATTGCACATACAACTTCATTAGATTAAGCTTACTTCTGTAAAGTGTAACATCACAAAGTTTTGGGTAGAACTTGATCTCCAATTGCTCTTTGGTACAGACTATGACTTTTTGTTGGCCCAACTCTGAGCTGAACCTCCTGGTTTTACCCCTGAGGAGTGGATTATCCATGTACCTTTATCCCTATGAAGTTGTAAAGTAAACCGTGATGACAACTGTCATACTTGAAAATCTGATAAATAAATGCATTCTTCCCATGGTATGTTCATATAACTTGTGTGATCACGGTTTAGACATGATTTAAAGAGACCCTTCCACTATGCCCTTCAGGCCAAAGCAACAGTATCTTTGTAAAGTACCCCCTGACCACTTTATACTCTTTTTCTCAGCATTCCCCGGGTGCTCCTTTCTCTGACAGATACCCACTGATTCTGGATATGAAATCTCGTAGATTGTAAGCTCGAAAGAGCAGGGCCCTCGAACCCTCGTGTATTGTATTGTTACTGTCTTGTCTCATGTTCTGTCCCCCTTGCTACTGTACAGCGCTGACAAACCCTTTGGCGCTATATAAATACTGTATAATTATAATAATAATAATAATAATAATATGGGGGAGCATGCGACTTTCTCCCTGCCTTAGTCCAGCAGGCTTGAGCACGAAGACATTACACACGGGGTGATGTCCTACATCCATTACACTCTGACACCAGTTATCTTAGTAGTGAAGTAGAAAGGAGTTGCAGGAGAGCACTGAGGTGGTGAGGATAACGTTTTTGGGGGAAGTGGGGAATGGCATGCCCTGAGCAGACAAGGCAAGTGTCTTTATTTAAATATAAAAATGTATAATTAATTTTCAAATAAACTTACCATTGTCCCTAATGAACTGCACTTGTGCCTTGTCAGTTATGTGAACAACCCAGCATCACAGGAAAGAGGTGTCAGTCTTCCTGTTATGTGTAATAATAAACACCGCAGTCATTTCTTAGTGAGAGTTTCCTTTTCCATGTATTGGGTACTAACAACTTCCATACAAATTTCCGTTCTAAGCTTCCTAGAGCTGCCCTGTTTACTTTGGTGGTCATTTGGTTACAGGGAAACACTGAACAGCATATATGATAAAAATTGGGTAACTGTAACTACCTAACATGCGAAGTTTTATTAATACATTTTCTTTTAAGTATAATTCAAAACTTAATTTGTAAAAGATAACATCTTTAATTTTTTTCCCTATAATTCTAAAAATGTTTCTTGCAAATTTAACAGAATATGCTGAAAATAGTTATGTGACAGGCTAGTGTGCATTTTTAGTTTTACAGTAGTTCACAGCATAGTTTTTAATGCTCTGAAATGAAATATTTCCAAAGCACCTCCATAGACTCAGATACTCTTGGCAACGTAATAACTTTGGCAAGTTTACACATAATAATCAAGGGATTTATTCATCTTCATATATGCCTCCATATAGATCAGATGTGATGAGAGGCAGTACTGATTAATAGGGAGAATTTACAGAAATTGCCAAGATCTGCATGCAACGTTAGCTGCTTATACTTCTGGATCTACTAATTCTTTTCACTGGAAGTAACCACAGTGTATGCATGTCTTAATACACTCAGTATGAATGGATGAAGGACCCTTTTTATACAACATACACCATTTGGTCCACTAGAACATCCTGGTGTAACTGATAAGTGCGATAACCTGCAATCTGAATAATAGAAATAAATATGTCACTGCATGTTATGTATTGTGCTGTGAATGCTAATGGTTTTAATAATTTTTTTTAAATGACTTATCTTTTGCAACATCATTTTTGTGGCTTTAGAGATGACTGTGTGAATATGTGCCTTATCACAGAAGCATACAGAGCTGAGCAGAAATCTACCTTATCCCACAGTGGGCATATCTTTTCTTTCTATTAGTTTTAAATGAGCATTTTTGAGTTACTGCATATTAGCTTTCTATAAATGCCTCTTAAAATGTTGGGCAATGGGACTTCAGGGTTTAATGGACCTAATCACCCACCAAGCTGCCCAGGATACTCTAAGACCATATAATGTATGTAATTTGTGTTTAAAAGAAAAAAAAAAGTGTCTTAGACCACTGGATACTCTGAACTCTGTACGGATGGGATAGCAATTTCATGCAAATCTGTTTTCTTTTATTGCTTGATTTCTCTGTTCCATAGGATGTAATTAGAACCATTGTCGAAAGTGGAGGCATCAAGCACTTAGTCACCATGGCAACCAGCGAACATGTAATAATGCAAAATGAAGCACTTGTTGCCTTGGGATTAATAGCCGCAATAGAATTACGTGAGTATTTTAAAGGATATATTCTTTTTTCTTAATAACTTTCCGCTAGTGCATTGAAATAATTAGTTTAGTTTGAGATCGGCTACCTATAAATGAAATGAGATACACAAGTGTTACTTTAGGAGTGTGTAATGTAGCATTTATATGTCTTAATTGGAATTAGCAGTGTGCAAGCTGTAATCTTAAAGTTTTATTGTCCCAAGAATATAACATTTTCCTGCCTCTCCTTACACCTTTCCCACCCTCAGTGTAATGAACATAATCTAGTAAAATGTCCATACTGGGGAAATGTTAATGTAATTATTTCCTGTTCGCAACTCCTAGTTTCAAGCCAGCAGTGGTCTCTGACTAATGATCGGAAACCCTCAGAATGGTTCCTGATAATGTGATCACTATGACAGCTGATCATACTGATCACACAGGTATGTGTACAAACATGTAGGTATATGCCAGGTGGCCGTGTGCAATGAGGCCTTTGGTATAAAACACATATTTGTTCATGGCCAGAATAAAAAAAAAAAGAAAAAAAAACCACAAGCCAGTAATTTATATTAGGGACCTGTTCACATCATGCAATGTGAGATCACAGGCAGAATCTCTGTGATTGAATCTTGCCCACAATGGATTATGTAACACGAAAATCAGGACCTGACTGTAATCCTGAAAATCGTCAGAATCTCTGTGATTGAATGGCTTGCCCTATAACACGAAGAATGAAAATCGCAGAATATAGTGGAAGAATTGCATACCTTGTTCCCACTATTCGATAATGTGAATGGGGCCTAACAGTGTACCAAATAACCGCTTTAAAAATATATATATCCTGCTCTGGAGGAGCATAATATAAAGGAGGATAAAAGTATGGTTTACATTTTTTTTAATTTAAATCTATATATACTGTATATAACAATGATTTAGGTGGACAGATATGTTCTGGAGCTATTATTAGTAAGTTAAGCCATGCATACTGATGCTACATTTTGTGTGGGCATCTAGGATTCAGTGATGTCCAGTCATGAAAAAGGTAATGAATTTTACTTACCTTTTAGTATTCCAAACTGAATATTAATAGAGTGTGCTGCCCCTGTGGCCTGCAGTGCTCTTTCCAGATGGGGATGGCTATCATGTGGGTGCTGCAAGTTAAGACTTTGCACGTTTATGATCATTCTCAGTATAAACAGTGCTTTGGTTTTAGTTTGTACCACCTTGAAAGAAGTTGGTCAGCTTTTTACTGAGGTGAGGTGCTGATGGGGCATTTACAGTATACTCAGAACTCCTTCACCTGTTGCAATGTTATGTCGCCGCCTGATACTACAGTTGTTTAAATTCATTTTTTTTTTCACATTAATCTACACTCAGTACCCCATAATGACAAAGTGAAAACAGAATTTTTGAAATGTTTGCAAATTTATGAAAAAAGAAAATCTAAAATATCACATTGGCATAAGTATTCAGACCCTTTGCAACAACACTTGAACTTTAGCTCAGGTGCCTCCCTTTCTCCTGGACTGTGCCTTGCAATAATCCTGTCTATGAGTTCTGTAGGCAGTTCCTTTGATCTCATGGCTTTTGCTCTGATACAGTATGAATTGTCAGCTGTGAGTCCTTAAATACAGAGTTGTGTGTCTTTCCAAATCATGTCCAATCAACTGAATTTACAACAGGTGGACTCCAATCAAGGTGTAGAAACATCTCCTCAATGATCAAGAGAAACAGGAGGCACCTGAGCTAAATTTCAAGTGTTGTTACAAAGGGTCTGAATACGTATGCCAATGTGATATTTCAGTTTTTCCTGTTTCAAAAATGTGCAAACATTTCTGAAATTCTGTTTTCCCTTTGTCCTTATGGGGTACTGAGTCTAGATTAATGAGGAAAAATGAATTTAAACAACTGTAGTATCAGGCCACAACATAACTAAATTGAAAACCATGAATGGGGTCTGAACACTTTCTGTATGCACTGTATGTGCAAGTGTATGAATTGTTTTCAACTGTTCATTGTCAAAGGTGGTATTCAAATCCTTTTACCTAGTGTGCTTTAAAGTATGGAAGGTCTGTACTAGGTCCTTTAAGCAGGAGAGTGAGGATGGTCACAATGATATGTCCGTCCACTAGTCTCATTACTAAGATCTTCACAAAAGAACACAGGCATCTGAGAAAGTGATGTTTTTCTTTCTTCTGAATACAGTCTTTGATCAGGAAATATGTGCCAAATATGTCTTTCTGGATTGAGAAAGGAAAATTTAAGTTCTTGGGTGAAATGTACCAGGCTGTGTGAAATGTGTGAAACAGCAGTGTCTATCAACAGGGCATAGTGAATATGTGCCACAGAACTCAGGGAACTAAATGTGTTGGGATCTTCCCAGGATAGATTTACAAACTTGGAGTAAAAGGAGTAGGCTAGAAATAATCATTGAAATACAGTGTGTGAAATTAACATATTTTACATTCTGACAATGAAAAAAGGCCTTTACTACATTTTGTCTATAGCTTTGCAATTCTTTGTACCAAATCTTAACCACTTAAGCTTTGGAAGATTTTACCCCCTTTATGACCAGGCCACTTTTTGCTGTTCGGCACTGTGCTACTTTAACTGGCAACTGTGCATTCATGCAATACTTTACGCATGAAATTTATATAATTATTTCCCCCATATAGAGCTTTTTTTTGGTGGTATTTGACCACCACTGTTTTTTTTATTTTTTTATTATATAAATTAAAAGACCATTTTGAAAAAAAAATCCAAAACAATATTTTTTACTTTCCGCTATAAAACATCCATTAAAAAAAAAAATTCTTCATAAATTTAGGGCAAAAATGTATTCTGCTACATGTCTTTGGTTAAAAAAAAAAATCCCAATAATTGTGTGTGTGTGTGTGTGTGTGTATGTATATGTGTATGTATGTATGTATGTATGTATGTATGTATATATATATATATATATATGTATATATATATATGTATATATATATATATGTGTGTATATATATATATATGTGTGTGTGTGTATATATATATATATATATATATATATATATATAATATATATATATATGTATATGTATGTGTGTATATATATATATATGTATGTGTGTGTGTGTGTATGTATATATATATATATATATATATATATATATATATATATACATATACATATACAGTCAGGTCCATAAATATTGGGACATCGACACAATTCTAACATTTTTGGTTCTATACACCACCACAATGGATTTGAAATGAAACGAACAAGATGTGCTTTAACTGCACACTGTCAGCTTTAATTTGAGGGTACTTACATCCAAATCAGGTGAACGGTGTAGGAATTGCAACAGTTTGCATATGTGCCTCCCACTTGTTAAGGGACCAAAAGTAATGGGACAATTGGCTTCTCAGCTGTTCCATGGCCAGGTGTGTGTTATTCCCTCATTATCCCAATTACAATGAGCAGATAAAAGGTCCAGAGTTAATTTCAAGTGTGCTATTTGCATTTGGAATCTGTTGCTGTCAACTCTCAAGATGAGATCCAAAGAGTTGTCACTATCAGTGAAGCAAGCCATCATTAGGCTGAAAAACAAAACAAACCCATCAGAGAGATAGCAAAAATATTAGGCGCGGCCAAAACAACTGTTTGGAACATTCTTAAAAAGAAGGAACGCTCCGGTGAGCTCAACAACACCAAAAGACCTGGAAGACCACGGAAAACAACTGTGGTGGATGACCAAAGAATTCTTTCCCTGGTGAAGAAAACACCCTTCACAACAGTTGGCCAGATCAAGAACACTCTCCAGGAGGTAGGTGTATGTGTGTCAAAGTCACCAATCAGGAGAAGACTTCACCAGAGTGAATACAGAGGGTTCACCACAAGATGGAAACCATTGGTGAGCCTCAAAAACAGGAAGGCCAGATTAGAGTTTGCCAAACGACATGTAAAAAAAGCCTTCACAGTTCTGGAACAACATCCTATGGACAGATGAGACCAAGATCAACTTGTACCAGAGTGATGGGAAGAGAAGAGTATGGAGAAGGAAAGGAACTGTTCATGATCCTAAGCATACCACCTCATCAGTGAAGCATGGTGGTGGCAGTGTCATGGCGTGGGCATGTATGGCTGCCAATGGAACTGGTTCTCTTGTATTTATTGATGATGTGACTGCTGACAAAAGCAGCAGGATGAATTCTGAAGTGTTTCGGGCAATATTATCTGCTCATATTCAGCCAAATGCTTCAGAACTCATTGGACGCCACTTCACAGTGCAGATGGACAATGACCCAAAGCATACTGCAAAAGCAACCAAAGAGTTTTTTAAGGGAAATAAGTGGAATGTTATGCAATGGCCAAGTCAATCACCTGACCTGAATCCGATTGAGCATGCATTTCACTTGCTGAAGACAAAACTGAAGGGAAAATGCCCCAAGAGCAAGCAGGAACTGAAGACAGTTGCAGTAGAGGCCTGGCAGAGCATCACCAGGGATGAAACCCAGCGTCTGGTGATGTCTATGCATTCCAGACTTCAGGCTGTAATTGATTGCAAAGGATTTGCAACCAAGTATTAAAAAGTGAAAGTTTGATTTATGATTATTATTCTGTCCCATTACTTTTGGTCCCTTAACAAGTGGGAGTCACATATGCAAACTGTTGTAATTCCTACACCGTTCACTTGATTTGGATGTAAATACCCTCAAATTAAAGCTGACAGACTGCAGTTAAAGCACATCTTGTTTGGTTCATTTCAAATCCATTGTGGTGGTGTATAGAATCAAAAAAATGTTAGAATTGTGTCGATGTCCCAATATTTATGGACCTGACTGTGTGTGTGTATGTATGTGTGTATATATGTGTGTGTGTTCTTTATACTAGTAATGGAGGTGATCAGCGAGTTTTAGTGGGACTGGCAATCTTAGAGTAACTGATATTGGGGGGGTACTGCCTAATTGTCACTGATATCTCCAGTGACACTTTTTTAACGCACTCCCTTTCTTGTTTTTTTTAGAATCGGCTGAATGTTATCTAGAAAGCGCAAAGTTAGTCCAAGTTCTTCACAGACTGTTATCAGATGACAAAAGTGCACCAGAGATCAAGTACAATTCTATGGTTTTGATTTGTGCCGTTATGGGTTCTGGTAAGTAATGGAGGGAATTCTGACAATGCCTACATTATAATCAGCGTTATTTGTATTACATGCCTACATGAATCAGTCTGGTAGAAGATTATATTTCTTTTCTTTGATAAGAAATTACGTTCTTAGCATGCAATTATAATAAATACACTTAACTTTTTAGATTCATCATAGTATTGCTACATTTCAAAACGGATGGCTCCCTGTGTTACTGTTAGCTACTGAATAAAGTAGAATGTTTCCATTATCAGGATCCGGGTGGTGCTGATATTATGCATGTTGTGAGGGAAGACATTGTATGCACATGTCAGAATTCATGCTGAAGGACACTGTTGCAAGCTGCTAAATTCAATCTCGTAATACAATGTCTTTTAGCACATAGTATATACAGCCACAATAGGAACTACTTGAGGGTCTGCATCACCATGGAAGCTTTAGAGAGCTTCATTCTTGGCACTTATATACAAGGATAAGTGCTCTTTAAAGTGAAAAATCAATGTTCCCTGCCTGGCATCTACAGAGCAAAATGCAGCATTTACCAGCTCCAGCTCTGTGTGGTTCCATGGAAATCATGTGCATGTGACAAGCCAAAGACTGGTACTGTCCAGACTGGACTTTATTGTCCTACTGGAAGACAAAGCTGCCAGACACTTGTAGCAGACAAAACAGTGAGTAAAGCTTGGCCATACACAAGTAGAGATGCATTCAAAAATGTTCATTTTAAAAAGGTTTGATTTTCTAATTGTTGGGGGTGGGGGGATAATCCACATTTACTTTTGACCTCAGTGATGAAAGAACTCTAAGAAATAGAATGGAAACATTCTAACATTGAATATGGTTTTTCCAAAATAAAAAACTTTTCTTTTAACATTCAAATATCTTTTGAATGACATTTGTCATGTCAGCAAAAGTACTGATGAGAATTTTCATACAGATGTTCTTTCAGAGCCCTACTGACGTATGGCCAGCTTAACCCCTCGCCTACAGGGCACTTATACCCCCTTTCCTGCCCCAGGCCAATTTCCAGCTTTCAGCACTGTCGCATTTTGAATGACAATTGCGCGGTCATGCAACACTGTACTCATATGAAATTTTTATCTTTTTTTCACACAAATAGAGCTTTTTTTTCGTGGTAGTTACTTGCCTCTAGTTGTTTTTGTTTTTTAACAAAAAAAGAGCTTAATACTTGCTACATTCCATGGTCTCCTAGCCACTGGCATTCTTCTGTCCAGTGCTGTGGGTATTGGAAGTGCCCTTGATGTCCTTGTGTACAATGTTGAACTATTGGTCCTGCATTGTACAAGATTCAACTGTCAGCCAAAGCACCTTAGAGAGAAGAGGCATTGAGGGATCAGTCACACAGATGGGGGGGGGGGGCAGACAGAATGAAGAATAAGGTAAATATTATACCTTATTTCTCCACCCTTTGACCTTATAAGTGTTTAACCCTTACAGTGTGCTGGGAGGGGGCCCTAAAAGGGTATGTTTCTTCCTGCCTGGAGCACCCCGCTATGCTATGTCACTGTACTTCCCAAGACTCTCCATACTTTTTTTTTTTTTTTTCCCCATGATTCATAAATGGCGACGTGGTGAAAGTGCTGTTCCCCTCTAAGTAATGAAATATAGATTTCTTTACATATAGGGAAATCTAGCAATCCCCTTAGCTCAGGAGTTAATCCTTCCATGGCCTAGTTGCCACAAATGATGTTCTAATCATTTGCATCACTTGCAGTACTAGACCCAGTACAGCAGTCCTCCTATTGCAGTTCACATTATGTTTTCTGTCGCTTGGATCCAGTCATATTTCATATCTCTAATGTTTGCATGCTGATTTTTGCAGAGCCTCTGCACAAGGAAGTTCAAAGCCTGGCATTCCTTGAAGTTGTATCCAAATTACGGAGCCATGAGAACAAAACGGTCGCCCAGCAGGCCTCGCTAACAGAGCAGAAACTGACTGTACAAAGCTGAGATTTGTTTGCACAAATTGTCCATCCCGCAGATTTCATTGTCTCTGTGCTCTGCCCCGGCCATGTTCCCCATCAACCGTATCACTTGTGCATGTGAGCTATGTTGCCACAGAAACAGATGAACTGCTGTAGGTACCTGTACAATCGTAGGCACAGAAAGATGAAAACTAAGCCATTCTCTTCTCATTACTTTTTTCCCTTGTATCCTCGTTGCTTACCTCCAAGGGAAGTATGTGCATGTCGTAGTCCTCTAATGTAAAGTGATACACCCCAATAGAGTATTGCTAGAGTATGGACAATACAGGAAACAAGCCAGTTCTTTTTGGAATTGGATTATCACATGTAGTCACAACAGCTCCATTTTTGGTGCTTTGGATGCAGGCTAGGAAGGGATTCCATTGCTACTCATTCACTAGTCTTGCTCGTTGCTGTTAATCTTGTGATACAATACCTAGAGTCCACTAATAAAACTACCAGTGCCCTCTTATTTTGTTGTGTCTTATTTCATGCTTTTAGTTGCTTTAGTTTTTTTATTCATAGTTTACAGAGCTGGATGTTGAAGGCAAGAGAGGAAACTCCAGGGTTATTTATCCAGTATATTGCTGGGAATGTTGCTCTGGTTTGATTACAAAAGCACATTTTTCTATTGGAATGATTCATTAATGGCATTACTTTGCATATATAAAAGGCCAAATAATGTGCATTTTTTTATGCTAAAGCTGGTCATAGATGGATCGAATCTCAGCTCGTTCAGCAGGGACTGGCCAAGATTCGATCCATCTATGGGCAGGCTGGTTTTACTGAAGTCAATTGATCAATTGAGTTCAGTACAAGCAGCCTGTCTGGATTTTTTGTTTTTGCATGCGATTACCTCCCTTGGCTATAGTTGCCAGCAGTGATCATTGTTTGCTGCCGGCATGGAAGACTCCACACTGGCAGCATACAATAGGGCTGCAGGAAGGATTCCTCAGTGTTGACGGGGAATCGGTGCATTTTTCTTTCCTGAAACCCGTGATTGAAAGAATAATGGCCATCATTTAGGGCTTGCCTCACTTTAGCATGGTGTGTGTAAATTGGTCATTTTCATATTTTTATATAAACCCTGTTTAATTGGCTCATGGATTTCGTGATACGATAATCACTTAAAATGTTACTAAACCCACAACAGTAAAATCAGTCTGTATATGCAGTAAAGCATGCTTGTTATACTCAGTGTGGTTAATCCTCCGTATTGTGTAAAAAGGATGCTTGATCCTGACTTCTCTGAGCCTCCTCTTCTACTGTTCCCAATCCATCTGCTGATAGAGCAGAGTCTTGGGGGCAAGCTGCACATGCTTAGTTTGGCGTGTATTGCTAGATAGTTATATTTTTGTCTTTGGCTCTGTGCTGAATACATGCACTCTCCCAATCAACACTGTCCACACAGAGGTCAGGGGTCCTGCAGCCTCATAGGACATTGAGAGGAGAATGAAAACTCCTCCTACAAGCAGTTCTCTGCTGGACACTGATAGAAATCACAAGACTGCTCTAACTGCTGATGAAAAAAGGTATTTAGCAGTTTATATTTACTAAATTACTATATTTACGTTTCATGTTCTGTGTACTGTGGGAGACCAGCTGTAGTGAATGCAGGGTCCTGGGTTTAATAACACTTTAAAACAAACCAGAGCAGTTATTTTTTTTTTTTTTTTCTTTTGACAACACTGTCTACCAAATAAGGCATTTTACATAGCATTTCTCAATGAAGATTACAAACACTTATGTCTTTTTGAGAGAAACTTATCCAATATAACACAAATATGAGCATTGTTTGAAGATAGCTTACAAAAAGGGTACTTAAAGCAGAACTGAAGTCCCACTGTAAGAAACTGTAAGCAGTCAGGCCTTTATTGCAGAAGAAGCATGCATTAAAATGCCCCTTCCTGCTTGCTCTCTCACCTGGCTCTGTAAACTGAGCTGCGCATGCACATCTCCACTTACATTGCCACGATGACAGTGTCCTGCACATAGGCAGGAGTGTTGAGGATGCAGAACCCCTGATCTCTGTCTGGAGAGTGCTGATTGGCCCTGTGCTGATCACACACACTCTCCCAAGGGGAAAAAAAAAACCTCTTTAGCTATACACACCAAACTGAGCATGTGCAGAGTGTCTCCACACAATATGTCTTATCAGGAGATAAGAGGGTGACACTGGAAGAAGGAAAGGATCAGAGAAGACAGGATCAAACAGCCTTTTTACCCAATGTGGAGGATTAACCCCTTAGGTTCTATAGTGAGTATAACGAGCATGCTTTACTGCATATATAGACTGATTTTACGGTTGTGGGTTTAGTAACACTCTAATGGAACTCTTGTTGAGAAAAGCTGCTGTCATCTAATATCCGTTGCTATCAGACCTCAGGAGAGCTGTTAGCTCTGGAGACTAAGTAGCAGGGCACATTTTTCATGTTTCATAAGTATGCCTTTACAATTATACTTTCATGCTGATCATCTGTCCCCTTTAACAGTTAGAAAGTGATACAAATAGTTACAATGTACCATTAACCTTGTGTATTTATGATTATGTAATCTGTAATTCACTAGTATCCTAATGGCAAACAGTCATTAATGGTTGTTTTATGGCCTCTAATCCCTAAATGGCCTCTGTAATCCCTTAATGGCAGCCCTATTTTCTGTTTCTTTAGGGGGGTTTGCAGTTGATTCAGTTGTAGTACAAGACTGCCCTCTAGTGTGTGAAGATCTCTTTACATGAATTACTCTGATGATTTCTATTTTGTTCAAGCCATATGCTGCAGTATAGGATTCAGAGGTTACATTTCAATGACTCTAATTTTTAAACAGTTTGCAAGTTGCATTACTGGTTAAAAATTCAAACACTTTTAATGATACACTTTTAATGTGTTGAGGACAGTTAGCACTGAATAATACAGGCCTGACCTTTGCTGATCTATGCTTAATTAACAGCTGCTCAATAGAAAACATTTTAGCATACCGCTAACATTCCAGTAGGATTCTGCCAATTAACTTCTCTGTGTCAGGGCATAATAAAAAGGAAAGAACATTTCTATTGGTTCATTGATTTGTTTGTGCAAAGTTGTTTTTTTGCAAAACTGTGAAAGCTGCCCTTGCTAACCTCCTTCAGAAAAAGTTGGTTGCCTGACTTTTATGCTGTTCTAATGCCTTCGACCTGTTTGTAAAACCAAAAATAACTTGCCTTTAAATGGTGAACATAATTTTGTGAAATTTAACATAGGATTTTTTTCTTTTTTTTTTTTTTTTTTTAAAAATTCGGTGGGCTGTCAGAGCTAAGCTAATATTACAATAATCTGTTCTTCCTCTGAATAGGTGACAACATTAACCACAGGGTCCTATTGATGTGAAATTGACAGTTTGACTACTGCTGATGACATTCAGCTGGGAGGTGTGACATCAAAACAAACCAAGCACTAATTCTAGTTTCTGGGTACATTAGTGGTTATTACTTGGTCTGAGGATATACACCGACCAGCCATAGCATTATGACCATTGACAGATAAAACGAATAACATTGATTATCTCGAAAGTGGGTGAGATATAATAGGCAGAAAGTGAACATGTTGATTCTGAAGTTGATGTGTTAAAAGCAGAAAAAATGGGCAAGTCTAAGGATTTGAGTGACTTGGACAAGGGCCAGATTGTAAGGGTTAGACAACTGGGTTAGAGCTTCTCTGAAAACTGCAGCTCTTGTGGGTTGTTGCCAGTCTGCAGTAGTCCAGACCTACCAAAAGTGGTCCAAGGAAGGAAAACCGGTAAACTGTTGACAAGGTCATGGATGGCCAAGCCTCATTGATGAACATAGGGAATAAAGGCTAGCCCGTGTAGTCCAATCCAAGGGAGTAAAGGCTAGCCCGTATAGTCCAATCCAATAGAAAAGCTACATTTGCTGAAAAGTTGATGCTTGTTCTGATAAAAGGTGTCACAATGCACAGTGCATCGTAGTTTGTTGCATATGGGGCTACGTGCCACAGACCAGTCAGGGTGCCCATGGTGAACCGAGTCGATAGCTGAAAGTGCCTACAATGGGCACAGGAGCATCAGAACTGGACCATGGGAGCAATGGAAGAAGGTGGCCTGGTCTGATGAGGTCAAGAATGGTTTGAAGAACACAACACATTTGATGTGTTGATCTGGCATCCAAATTCTTCAGATCTCAATCCAACTGAGCAGCTGTGGGCTGTGCTGGAAAGACAAGTTGGATCCATGGGGGCACCCCCCCCCCCCCTCAACTTGCAGGATTTAAGGGTTTACCACTGACAGCTTGGAGTCAGATACCACAGTATACCTTCAGAGGTCTAGTGGAGTCCATGCCTTGACAAGTTATGATGGATGTCATAATGTTCTAAGTGATTGGTTTGTATGTTTAACATTTTGGGCTATGACATAGGTTCAAACGCTTCTGACTGTTCTATCTGCACTATAAAGTACAAATGGCAACTGCAATCAATTTATACTTCACTAAAGTAACATGCGCAGGAGTAGGGCAGTTTACAGAACAACACAAAAATCTTCCAGCATACTTAAAGCTAGTCAGCAAAAAAGTCCAAACCCATGGTGCCCGCCATGTGGAATATGTGAATGGAAAAAACTGCACGTCCTGTCTCCCACCATGGCTGACAGCTTGTAGATTAAAAAAAATATAGCCTGAACGAGCATAAATCAGTACATTAAAAGATATTTTTAACCCCTTCACGACCAGGGAAAAACCAAACATTGATACCCCAACACAATTTTGCAACTTTGACGTGTTAGTATAATACATATCATAGGAACTATTTAGTGTATCCAGGTGGGTTATTCCTTGTAATTTTTCAGGACAGATTGGGTTTTTCATTTGGTGGGAAATGTTAATAGATATTTCCTGGTTTTATGATTTTTAAAAATTAGCTGTACATTTTTTATGCCATTAAAAACCTGCAAAATAAAATTCTCCTACTTCTGACGATCACCATGATGCCACATACAATATCTCACAGAAGTGAGTACACCCCTCACATTTTTGTAAATATTTGATTATATCTTTTCATGTGACAACACTTAAGAAATGAAACTTTGCTACAATGTAAAGTAGTGAGTGTACATCTTGTATAACAGTGTAAATTTGCTGTCCCCTCAAAATAACTCAACACACAGCCATTAATGTCTAAACCGCTGGCAACAAGAGTTCTCTTCCACTCCTCCATGATAACATCACGGAGCTGGTGGATGTTAGAGACCTTGTGCTCCTCTACCTTCCATTTGAGGATGCCCCACAGATGCTCAGTAAGGTATAGGTCTGAAGACATGCTTGGCCAGTCCATCACCTTTACCCTCAGCTTCTTTAGCAAGGCAGTGGTCGTCTTGGAGGTGTGTTTGGGGTCATTATCATGTTGGAATACTGCCCTACGGCCCAGTCTCCGAAGGGAGGGGATCATACTCTTCTTCAGTATGTCACAGTACATGTTGGCATTCATGGTTCCCTCAATGAACTGTAACGCCCCAGTGCCTGCAGCGCTCATGCAGCCCCATACCATGACACTCCAACCACCATGGTTGTCACCAAACACACTTGACACCATTTGAACCAAATCAGTTTATCTTGGTCTCATCAGACCACAGGACATGGTTCCAGTAACCCATATCCTTAGTCTGCTTGTCTTCAGCAAACTGTTTCCGGGCTTTCTTGTGCACCATCTTTAGAAGAGGCTTCCTTCTAGGATGACAGCCATACAGAGCAATTTGATGCAGTGTGCGATGTATGATCTGAGCACTGACAGGCTGACCCCCCCCCCCCCCCCCCCCCCCCTCATTCAACAATGCTGGCAGCACTCATACGTCTATTTCCCAAAGACAATCTCTGGAAATGACGCAGAGCACGTGCACTCAACTTCTTTGGTCGACCATGTTGATGCCTGTTCTGAGTGGAGCCTGTCCTGTTAAACTGCTGTATGGTCTTGGCCACCGTGCTGCAGCTCAGTTTCAGGGCCTTGGCTACCTTCTTATAGCCTAGGCCATCTTTATGTAGAGCAACAATTCTTTTTTTCAGATCCTCAGAGGGTTCTTTGCCATGTTGAACTTCCAGTGACCAGTTTGAGAGCAATAACGCCAAATTTAACACACCTGCTCCCCATTCACACCTGAGACCTTGTAACACTAATGAGTCACATGACATCGGATAAGGAAAATGGCTAATTGGGCCCAATGTGGACATTTTCACTTAGGGGTGTACTCACCTTTGTTGCCAGTGGTTTAGACATTAATGGCTGTGTGTTGAGTTATTTTGAGGGGACAGCAAATTTACACTGTTATACAAGCTGTACATTCGCTACTTTACATTGTAGCAAAGTGTCATTTCTTCAGTGTTGTCACATGAAAAGATATAATAAAATATTTACAAAAATGTGAGGGGTGTACTCACTGCTGGGAGATACTGTATGTGTGTGTGTGTTATTTGTACCTATAGTAAGTAGTACACTTTTGTTTGTCCTAAACACTCTGATTATATAAAATTTTTCTTTGTAAAAACACACTAACACTCACGGAATAATATCAAGCCCTGATCTAGCAATTATTTTTTTTTACAGACTTTTCCTCCAGCTTGGAGGAAAAGCTACATTGGAAAATTTATGAAGACTGGAGAGTGCAAAATCTGGTGTATCTCTGCATAGAAGCCACTCAGGTTCCATTTTTTTCAGTCATAGTCCATAGGGTTTAATATTGAGTTGGCCCACCCTTTGCAGCTATAGCAGCTTCAACTCTTCTGGGAAGGCTGTCCACAAGGATTTGGAGTGTGTCTATGGGAATGTTTGACCATTCTTCCAGCAGCGCATTTGTGAGGTCAGACACTGATGTTGGACGAGAAGGCCTAGGCTTGAAGTCTTTGCTCTAATTCATTCAAAAGGTGTTCTGTCGGGTTGAGGTCAGGACTCTGTGCAGGCCAGTCAAGTTCCTCTACCCCAAACTCACTCATCCATGTCTTTTTGGACCTTGCTTTGTGCACTGGTGTGCAGTCATGTTGGAACAGGAAGGGGCCATCCCAAACTGTTCCCACAAAGCTGGGAGCATGAAATTGTTCAAAATATCTTGGTATGCCAACGCCTTAAGAGTTCCCTTCACTAGAACTAAGGGGCCAAGCCCATTCCTGAAAATCAACCACACACCATAATTCCCCTCCACCAAACTTTACACTTGGCACAATTCAGTGAAGCAAGTACCATTCTGCTGGCAACTGCCAAATCCAGATACGTCCATCGGATTGCCAGAGAAGCGTGATTCGTCACTCCATACACGTCTCCATTTCTCTAGAGTCCAGTGGTGGTGTGCTTTGCATCCGACACTTTGCATTGCACTTGGTGATGTAAGGCTTGGATGAAGCTCTCTACATGAAGTTTGGAGGCTTTAGTTGTTGACTCTGCAGATAGTTGGTGACTTCTGTGCACTGTGTGCGTCAGCATGCGCTGACCCCGCTCTGTCATTTTACATAATCTGCCACTTCGTGGCTGAGCTGCGCTGTTCCCAGTTGCTTCCACTTTGTTACAATACCATTAACAGTTGACCGTGGAATATTTAGTAGCAAGGAAATTTCACAGATGGACTTATTGCACAGGTGGGAACCTATCATGGTACCACACTTGAATTCAATGAGCTGCTGGCAGTGACCCATTATTTCACAAATGTTTGTAGAAATAGTCTGCATGCCTAGGTTGCTTTAGTTTATACACCTGTGGCCATGGAGGTGATTGGAACACCTGAATCCAATGATATGGAGATGTGTCCCAATACATTTAGCAATATAGTCTACATCTTGGTCCCAGTGCTGTGAGCATGCAATTGAACATGCTTCTAGCACAAACAGAGGAACACATATATGTGGCTGCTTGTTTTAAAGCCCCCTTCTTGGATGCTGCACAGTTAATGGAGATTTTCAATTGTAAAAGATGACAAACTCCAGAGGGTTATTTATATCCATGCAAGAAAGATCCTATGGTAAAAGAAACTTTCAGAGCACACATAGAATTAAATTGATTTATGGTTGTATTTGTATACAGTAAATATGGGCAATAGAGACTACAGAAACATCTCCAGCCCTCAACTATCATAATTTTTGTTCAAAGTGCTTTCTGCACTAGATATGATATCCAACCTGCTCCCCCCCCCCCCCCCCCCTCTCCCTCCACCCCAGCCATGACTAATCCAACCATAGCTGTAAAGAACATGACTGTAGCTCAGCTTGGCTGTGAGCAGTTTCCTTAGACAAGCAACAGTAAGATGAATGCAGAGGGAGGGAAGACTGTCTGCCCCTGCATTCCCCTTGCTGTTGCGTGTCTTGGCAGCCAAGACAACTTACACTTCAGCAGTCTCCTTCATAGTTGTTGAATGGCTGTGGCAGAAGGGAAAGGGGACAGGTCAGACCTCATAACTAGGGTTAGAAAGCACTTCAAAACATGGGCAAAATGTAAGTAGAAATGTAGTACCTTGTCCTGAAGGAGGCACAACTGTCAAAAAAAAAAATGTACATTGCCTGTAGTAATCATAAATGGGAGTGCTCCAGTTGGATGACCAGTTAACAGCAAAATGAACAAAGGTGGAATGGGTTATGGGCAATGAAGGGATAACATGAACTAAGGAGGAGGAGGAATGGGTCCTGGGCACCATAGGGATAACCTGGACAGAGGGGGAAAGAGTGGGTCCTGGGCACCGTAGGGTTAACCTGGACAGAGGGGGAAAGAGTGGGTCCTGGGCACCGTAGGGTTAACCTGGACAGAGGGGGAGAAGGAGTGGGTCCCAGGCACCGTAGTGATAACCTGGACAGAGCGGGAGGAAGAGTGGGGTCTCTGGCACTATAGGGATAACCTTGACAGAGGGGTTAGAAGAATGGGTCCTGGGCTCCCTAGCAATTACCTGGATATAGGGGAGGAGGAATGGGTCCTAGTAACCGCAGGGATAACCTGGACAGGGGAAAGGAGTGGGTCCTGGACACCATAGGAATAACCTGGACAGAGGGGGAGGAGAAGTGGGTCCCGGGCACCGTAGGGATAACCTGGACAGAGGGGGAAAGAGTGGGTCCTGGGCACCGTAGGGTTAACCTGGACAGAGGGGGAAAGAGTGGGTCCTGGGCACCGTAGGGTTAACCTGGACAGAGGGGAAGAAGGAGTGGGTCCCAGGCACCGTAGTGATAACCTGGACAGAGCGGGAGGAAGAGTGGGTCTCTGGCACTATAGGGATAACCTTGACAGAGGGGTTAGAAGAATGGGTCCTGGGCTCCCTAGCAATTACCTGGATATAGGGGAGGAGGAATGGGTCCTAGTAACCGCAGGGATAACCTGGACAGGACAGGGAAAGGAGTGGGTCCTGGACACCATAGGAATAACCTGGACAGAGGGGGAGGAGAAGTGGGTCCCGGGCACCGTAGGGATAACCTGAACAGAGGGGGAAGAGGAGTGGGTACCGGGCACTATAGTGATAAACTGGGCAGAAGGGGTGGGTCCCGGGCACCGTAGGGATAACCCGAACAGAGGTGGAAGAGGAGTGGGTAACGGGCACTGTAGCGATAACCTGGACAGAGTGGGAGGAGGAGTGGGTCCCTGGCACTATAGCAGTGTTTCTCAACTCCAGTCCTCATGGACCCCCAACAGGTCATGTTTTCAGGATTTCCCTCAGATGAAACAGCTGTGGTAATTACTAAGGGAGTGAAACTGGTCAAATCACCTGTGAAAAATAATGGAAATCCTGAAAACATGACCTGTTGGGGGTCCATGAGGACTGGAGTTGAGAAAAACTGCACTATAGGGATAACCTGGACAGTTGGGTTAGAGCAGTGTTTCTCAACTCCAGTCCTCATGGACCCCCAACAGGTCATGTTTTCAGGATTTCCATTATTTTGCACAGGTGATTTGATCAGTTTCACTGCCTTAGTAATTACCACAGCTGTTTCATCTGAGGGAAATCCTGAAAACATGACCTGTTGGGGGTCCATGAGGACTGGAGTTGAGAAACACTGGGTTAGAGAAATGGGTCCTGGGCCCCGTAGCAATTACCTGGATAGAGGGGAGGAGGAATGGGTCCTGGGCACCGTAGGGCCAGTGCTAGACTATTTTGTGCCGTAGGCAAGACCAGCTACTTCAAATGAGTATAGGTGAGCGCACAAAAAATAAATGAGCTGCTGGCATAAAGGACAGAACCCCTAAATCCTCTGGTAAATAGTAAACAAGTATGCAGCGCTTATATAATAAAGTGATCTAGTGAAAACAACACAATAACCGCGTAAAAGTATTGAAATGAATTGTATAAAGTGAATGGATGAAATTAAAATAACTTAAATTTGCACAGATAAATCAATAAATATGACACTGAAAATGTATAAACATATGTAGATAAATAATGAAGTTCATAAAGTGCTATTAAAGTGCTCATCAATCCATATTCCAGTAAACAAGTCATAAGTTTACTGGAGTATGGATTGATGAGCACTTTAATAGCACTTTATGAACTTAATTTTCTATCTACATATGTTTATACATTTTCAGTGTCATATTTATTGACTTATCTGTGCGAATATAAGTTATTTTAATTTCATCCATTCACTTTATCACTTGTCACTTTATACAGTTCATTTCAATATTTTTACACGGTTATCGTGTTGTTTTCACTAGATCACTTTATTATATAACCGCTGCATACTTGTTTACTAAAGACCAGCTACTTGCACCCCCCCCCCCCCCCCCCCAAAAAAAAATATATTTTTTGAAAAACAGAAAAAAACCTTGAAACTGGTAAATTTCTTTTAATTTGCAAAAATAAGTGCCATAAGATGCTACCAGCACTAATATTAAAGACAAAATCAGTGTCACAGATAGACTGTATCTGTGGCTGTTAGTGGCGGGGTCACAGTTGCAGTGAGTGGAGGATGATGGATCCACAGTCTGACAGATCCCAGGCTGGAATTCTCCAGGCAATGAGTGGAGATAAAACATTGTGACAGCAGGTAGCCCAGCCCACACACCTGAACTGAGTGATCCTACACAGTATCAGATCCGACACAACACACCACCACTAACACTGACACAAACCAGCAGGCACTAGAAGAACAGGCTTTGGGATCGTGATGATGTCATCACTCACTGACGCATTGCACATGTGATGGATGGTCGGCCGGATCACATTCATACAGACACAAGACATCAGAGTCAGACATTACCTTCCTCAGCAGGCGCAGCTCCACCTCCGCTGATGAATGGGAATAAAATGGCTGGAACTCCACAGTGATTAGCAGTGGCCAGTCAGCTTGTAGTAAGGGACTGAGTGTGAGAGGAACACTGGAAGGAGCGGCAGCTCAGCTGCAACACTGTCCCTAGACACCCGGCATGTTCCCCTCTGTCCTTTCTTCCTCCCCTCTGCTGCTCCTCTTATCAGCTGAAGGATCATTCATGATGTGGCGGCGTCTCACACAGAGAGAGTGCTGGCCTATGCTGTGCCCAGGCACCCCTAGGTGGCCACCCCCTAGTGGCCACCTTTTGCCTAGTGAAAGCACCGGTCCTGCCTAGACATAGGGGGAAGAGGAGTAGGTCTTGGGCACTGTAGCGATAACCTGGTCAGGGGGGAGAAGAGGAATGAGTCCTGGAAACCATACGGATAACCTGGACAGAGGGGAGGAGGAATGGATCCTGAACACTGTAGGAATGACCTGGACAAAGGGGGAGGAGGAATGGGTCTTGGGCACCATAAGGATACCCTGGACAGAAAGGGAAGAGGAATGGGTCCTAGGCACTGTAGAGATAACCTGGACAGAGGGGCAAGAGGAATGGGTCCTGAACACCGTATAAATAACCTGGACAGAGGGGGAGGAGGAACCATAGGGATAACCTGGGTCCCAGGCCCCATAGGGATAACCTGAACAGAGGAGAGGAAGGAATGGGAGGGAGAGGAGGAATCTCTGGGCACCACAAGCATAACCTGGAGATAATGTATACAAGACATACACCCTGTTCCAAATTATTATGCAAATTCTATTTAAGTGTCACAAAGATTAAATATTTTGTTTTTCAGTTTAACTCATGGATGGCATTGTGTCTCAGGCTCTTTTGATCACTGAAAACAATCTCGGACATCTGTGATAATTAGATTGGCCGGTGAGCCCAATTTAAGGAAAAACTACTAAAGGAGGGTGTTCCACATTATTAAGCAGAGCACCATTTTCAAGCAATATGGGGAAGAAAAAGGATCTCTCTGCTGCCGAAAAGAGTGAAATAGTTCAATGCCTTAGACGAGGTATAAAAACATTAGATATTTCATGAAAATTTAAACGTGATCATCGCACTATTAACCTCCTTGGCGGTATTCCCGAGTGTAGCTCGGGGTAACATTTCAGTACCACAAACAGTAACCCCGAGCTACACTCGGGAATACATACGGCACTGCTAAAATGCATTTGATCTTCACTTACCTTACCCTGCGCTCCTGCGATGTGTCCCCTGCAGCGTCCCTGGCCATCTCCTCCGGCCAATGCCGGCATCCGGCTTCTGTGTCCTGTCCCTGTGACGTCGGGACGTACGGGCGCCGCTGGCGGCGGAAATTTAAAAATTTTAAAAAGACTTTTTTTTTTTTTTTACATTTTACATAGTAAAACATTGCTGTCTCAACCAATTTCACATACATCTTGTCCCTAATGCTTTGTCCTGTGCCCTGCCTGCATTTTGT